CAATAGAGGAGTCCAAAATGGCTGAGAGACACTTGAGAAAGTGCTCAACCTCCTTAGCCATCAGGTAAACACAAATTAAAACAACTCTGAGATACCATCTCACTCCCATCAGAATGGCTAAAATCAAAAACACTAATGACAGTTTATGCTGGAGAGGGTGTGGAGAAAGGGGAACACTACTCCATTGCTGGTGGGAGTGCCAACTTGTGCAGCTATTTTGGAGATCACTATGGAGATTACTCAGAAAAATGGAAATCAGTCTACCACAAGATCCAGCAATTCCACTCTTAGGCATATACCCCAAAGATGTACACTCATACAATAAGGGCATCTGCTCAGGTATATTCATAGCAGCATTATTTTATAGCCAGAACCTGGAAGCAACCTAGATGCCCCTCAACTGAAGAATGGATAGAGAAAATGTGGGACATTTACAGAATGGAGTACTATGCAGCGGTGGGGTGGGGGACGGAACAAAAATGGAATCTTGAAATTTGCAGGTAAATGGATGGTACCAGAAGAAACCATCCTGAGTGAGGTAACCCAGTCACAAAAAGACAAACATGGTATGTACTCACTCATATGTGGATTTTAGACATGGATCAGGGGAGTGCCAGCCTACAATCCCACTGCCAGAGAGTCTGGGGTGCAGGGAGGACCCTAAGAGAGATATGCATGGTAACCTGGAGAAGGGGAATGGGACCAGATCTCCTAATTGGGAGCAGGGGGGAGGGGAGGAGAGAGGGAGATGGGAGAAAGAGAGGGGGAGAAGAAAAAGAGGAGAGGAGGACACGAGGGAAGGAGCAGGAAGGTTGAGTCAGGGTAAGAATAGAGAAGGATGGGAGATACCATAAAAGAGGGAGCCATTATAGGTTGGAGGAGAGATCTGGCACTAGTGAGATTTTCAGAGATCTACAAGAATGACACCAACCGGCATTAAGGATACCTTAAATGCCCTCCCCTGATAATGAGATTGATGACTACCTTATATGCCATCCTCATCCAGTGATTAATGGAAGCAGAGGCAGACACCCACAGTTAAAACTGAACTGAACTGAACTCCTGAGCCCAGTTGCAAAGAGGAGTGATGAGAAAAGGAATCAAGACCTGTCTGGTGAAACCCACAGAGGCAGCTGACCTAAATAAGGGGGAATGCGTGGACCCCAGACTGATGACTGACAGGCCAGCATGGGACTGATCCACATACCCTCCTCCAAGCCTGGGTGTCAGAGAGGAGGCCTTGGCAATCTATGGAACCTTGGAGAGTAGATCAGTATTTATTCCTGGCATACAAATGGACTCTGGGAGCCAATTCCAGATGGAGGGATGCTCTCTCAGCCTGGACACATGGGGGAGGACCTAGGCCCTTCCCCGGGATGATATGACAGACTCTGAAAATCTCTCATGGAAGGCCTTACCCTCCCTGGGGAGCAGAGCGGGGATGGAGTTGGAGGTTGGGGGATGTGGGGAGGTGGGGGAGGAGGGCAGGGAGAGGGAACTGGGAGTAACATGTGTAAAAAGTTAAAGAATTATTATTTAAAAAAAAAGTGACAGGAACTCAGACAGGGCAGGAACCTGGAGGCTGGAGCTGGTGCAGAGGCCATGGAGGGGTGCTGGTTACTGGCTTGCTCCTCATGGCTGCTTTCGTATAGAACCCAGGACCACCTGCTCAGGGATGGCACCACCCACAATGGGCTGGACCCCCCCTCCATCAATCACTAAATAAGAAAATGCCCTACAGCCAGCTCTAAAGCTCCTCCTCTCTGGTGACTCCAGTTGTGACAAGGTGACATAATACTGCCAGCACAGGAACCTTCCCAGATTAGGTTCGTCACTTAGTGACAAAAATTTCTCCTTGCTTTCTGTGGCTTGATAGCTCACTTTTTAGCAAGAATAATATTCTATTATCTGATCTGACCACAATTCATTTTTTACATTCTCCTGCCAAAGGAAAACTTGTCTTCTTCCAAGTTTTAGCAATAACGAGTAACGTTTCTAAAAATATTTATATGCAGGTTTTTGTGTAGACACGTGTTCAACACACTTGGGTTAATACCAAGGAATTTGATGACTAGATTATGATAAGAGCATGCTCAGTTTTGCAAGCAACTGACAAAATGTCTTCCAAAATGGCTGCACCATTTTGTGTTCCCACCAGCAGTAAACAAGGGTTCTGATTACTTCACATCTTTTCAACATTTGACATTGTCAGTAATTATTTATTTATTTATTTATTTGGTCATTCTAACAGATGAGATATGTCAATGTGTCTATTTATCATTTGAGTAACATTATAGTGATGCCTTCTACAAGCTCAAGCCACAGACTGTCTTCCCAAGTCATGCCAAGGAGACTGCAGAGATGAGGGCCAAGTCAGGTGGTCTCTTTCCAAACCTCAAACTTGCACACAGAGACTACGGACCATAGGCAGTTTACTGAGCACACAACTGGCCAATCACAGTGCTGTGAATGCAATAATTTAAAAAATATCTGCATTCTTTCTTTTTTCAATAATTTGTTTTTATGTGCATTGGTGTTTTGCTTGTGTGTATGTGTGATGATGCCAGATCCCCTGGACCTGGAGTTACAGACAGCTGTGAGCCGCCATGTGTAAGCATTTCAATGGATTGGATGGGTTGGATTATGGCACTTGGGAGCCAAAGAATATTGAGTGTTACAGCTCAGATGGAAAAGTATTCTGGCACTTGGGGGTCACAGAATACCACAGGGCACAGTAAGCATAGCAGCTCACAGCCCTGCTTCAGGGAGAGGCTTCCCAGCGTATCAGTTCTGCTCTGACTGGAGAGGGTTTCCCTGGCAAAGTTGTTACAGTTTGGCTCCAGTCCCTGGGAGAGGGAGTGTAACAACTTCACTTCACCAGGGAAGGTTTCCCCAGCCCTGGCAAAAAGAGTTGAGGCTTGGCTCGGCTCCACCCAGGGTCGTCTCTACAACATCGAAAGAGAGTCTCACCCAAACCTCATTCAAGAGATTTATTGGGAGGGAAGAATCCAGGAGAGTGGCTACCCAGCCAGGCAACAACTACAAGCTGACTGACACAGGGTTTATATAGGGATTCGTAGGAGGGCGGAGTTTTTCCAGGGAGCTTTCCACGTGGGGATTGGTCAAATTTCAATCCCTGAGCTCAGAATGACTAGATCTCCTGCTCAGGAATTGGTTGGTTTTCTGCACAGGTTTAGGTGATAGTGTAGTGACCAGTCCCCCATTTTAGCAGCCATTACAGGCTAAAATGTGCTTGCATGACCTTGCCACTCCTGTCCTGGTCACTAAGGTCAGATGCCCTCCTCGTGGCAAGGAACCAATCAGAAGTTAGATGATGGGGCTGTGCTTTACGGCTCTGGGTGTGCTTTATGGACAGTGCACAACAGTGATGTGAAGAACATAGCAACTGTCCTGGGAGGGCCTATGGGCCATAACAACCAGTTGACCAATCTACACAGGGTGGGTCACCCAAACCTGGAAGCACACCAATCCTGAGACTGTCTCATACCCCTAGACACTCCCCTTACTCTGCCCCTTTAAGATCTCTGCTTGGGGTCTTTCTCTAGCCATTCGCCATAGTGGCTAATGGGGTTAGCTCGTTAAACATCTACAATAAAAGACTCTTTGCTTTTGCATCGAAATGGGCCTCTTGGTGATTTCGGGGTTCAGAATTTGGGCACATTGTGGGACAGTGGGTTCATTCTGTTCTTTGGGGAAACACCAGGGTCAAATCAATGTGCAGTGTGGCTATCTTATCCCTTCTGTGTTAAAAGTTCTTGCTAAATTGAACTTTGAATCCCATCCCTAAAAATACAAATTCTTCTAATGAAATGTCCAAACCACACAGCCACTGTTTCCCATTGGGATGCCATTGGGCCCCAGGGACTCACCACGCTGAGCAATGCTAGAACTTCCCAAGGACAGCACTGAGCACTGTGGGGGTCCTGTGACTTCATCTCGGTGCCTTTTTTTAGGTCCTTGTCAAAGTTCAAGGTCAGGCCAAACTGCCCCTTCTACTCCTTTAGAATATGGCAGGGGAGTCAACATCCTGTTGACTTTGTGACTTTTTCAAAACAGGTACCAACCCAGAGGCCCAGAGGGCAGAAAAGGAAACAAAACCAGCAAGGATTCTCAGTATGTAAGGGTACTTGCTGCCAAACCTAAAGACTTGAGTTGGATCCCCAGAACCCACATAGTGGAAGAAGAGAGACAGCTCCCGAAAACCATCCTCTGGCCTACACACATATACTAGATACAAAACATACAAAACTTTTTTTTTAAGCACAGGGTGATTCTCTCAGAGAAGCCTACACCCACATTCTCCAATATGTCTTACTTTGTTGGCAGCTCTCTCTCTCAATCCTCACTCAGCTTTTCCTAAAACATCCTTTAAAACACAACTCTGCCTCAAAAAAAGAAAGGAAGGAAGGAAGGAAGGAAAAGAAAAAAAGAAAGAAAAGAAGGAAAAACTAAACCTAATGTTTTATTTTAGGGGAAAATAGTTAATTTACTAAGAAGATAAAATGGGTTAGACTTTAAAACCAATGACATAGCTTCGAGAATGAGTACGAGGTTTCTGGGTCAAGCTCTAAATAGGGGAGAGCAGCAGCCAGAACCTGTCCAGGCTCAGCAGGCTCTGATCATGGAGCACAGAGCAGACTCCAGAACTTCTAACCCTGTCCTTGGCCCTGGGCATTAACAGCTAGCGTTCGGGGCCTCCCTAGGAAAGCCCTGGAGCTCAGGGAGGAGGGAGCAGCAGGTAGGCTTAGCTCTGGCTTCCAGTGGCACTGAAGACAGTTTCCCTCCGCTCTGTGGTGGGAATGGGTGGACTTACCTACTGTTGATTTTGTTCCGCAGCCTTCGTCAGAAAGGAAATGGAAGTCTCCTACCTAGTAACTCAGACAAAGCGAGGAGGGTCTCTGCAGCGCTGCGGGTCCCTCACTATGACTTTGACGGTAGAGCAAGAAAAGCATCAAGGACAAGTTTGTCAGTTCGCTTACTTTCCCACAGCAAAAACCGTCAGCCCCACGGTGATTTTCTGGTTGGCATAATGCTTTTCCAGCAGAACTCTGTCGAAAGTGCCTTCCCACACAATTGGTGCCTTCCATGGGGTCACCGTCAAAACCTCTGGGCGGTTCCTGGTGACAAAACATGCAACACTGTGAGTCAGGACCTCTTTTCTAAGGTGAGAGATTGGCCAAGGAAGAGGGGTCCAGCAAGGGTCATGGCGACTGCGTCTGAATCCTAAATGCTTGAATAGGAGCTGTGACATTTCCCCGGGCAGCAGTGGGTCCAGGCACCACTGAGGGCTGCTCAGGTACCTTCTCAGATCCTCATCTAGTGACATTGTGAAACACTGTCTGCTCATGTACCAAGGCTGACCTCACACTCCCTATGTAGCCCAGGATCACCCTGAACTTCTGACTCTTGTCTTTCCACCGGCCAAGTGCTGAGATTACAGGCATGCCCTCTTCATGAGCCGCCATGTGTGCTTGGCAGACAGTCTACCAACCGATCCACACCCCGGCACGCCCCTAACTGACATGTTTGGGTTGCTATTGATCCTTGAGAATATCATCAGAGCCTGAGAAGACGCTAAGATAGGATGCACGGTGATGGGAGAGAGATGTCAGAGCTGAGAGAGAAAGGCCTCTTCCTGTTTTGGCCAGATAGGGCCCCAGACTCAGGGGATGCTGGTGTCCTCGGCCTGCAGGATGAAGACACTCTAGAGACATGCGTGACCCCTCCGTTTGGCTAGCAGGCCATTGAGACAATGTGCTTCAAGGAATGGGGACTTCTCCAGCAGCCTCCTACTGCGGGAAGAGAAAAGCGCAGGCTGGTACCAGCCAGAGGAGGACCTTGCCTCACTAGGAAGCGGTCTCAGAAGTTGTAACAACTTGGGAAACCACACTGAAAGGCAGTCTGCTGTGGTGAGACGGATGGGTTGATGGTGGGCAGTTAGCTATGCACACCTCCTGCCTAGTACTTAAACCTAAACGCCAGCAGGGCCCAAAGACGAAGCTAGGGGGCCACCAGACCTCTTTGTGTGTTCCTCTTTCTAATAGGAACACATCGAATAATCCCCTTCCTCTCGTTTTTCACTACTCTCTCGCTGTTTTAAAACTTTTTAAAAAATCGCACATGTGGATTGCATGTTTGTATGTATGTGAGTGCAGCGTATGTACATCCAAAGTTGATGTTGGGAGTCTTTATTCACTCCCTCAAGAGTCCATCTAGTCTAGCCAGCACCTCGTTCTGGGAAATCCGGTCTCCAGCTTCGAAGCAGTGAAATCACCAGTCCTGCTGCCACACCCAGCCAACATGTTACACGGATGCGGGAGAGCTGAACCCATGCTAGCAGAGTGGAGCAAGAGCTTCCTCCGAGTGCCGCCTCTCCAGTTTCCTTAATTAGCGTGTCGTCAGGGCTGCCCTGGGGTGGGCTGGTGTTACCAGTCCCATTTTACAGGCAAGGACACGCAAGTGGCCAGAGAGGAAGGGCCTGGGGGTGCACAGCACAGACATGGCTGGACAGCAGAGCTCTGGCAAAGACCCTTCCACTCACCCACCTTGTCTCTTCACCGGGGACGCAAGAGCCAGCAGGAGGCTTGTTTTCATTACTTAGAGAGCTTGAACAAGACCCAGCAACACCAAAAGCCAGGCAGGTAGCCACCGTGACACTGAAGGCTGAGGGCAGGAAGGACAGAAGGCAGCAGCGCCTAGCAGTGTAGACTCATACTGGATCTCCAACTCACTTGGGACAGACTGATGTACACAGAGGGTAGGCCCTGGCTGGGCGGAACACACTCTGGCCAAGCTTGTTTAGCTTTACACAGTGTTTGAACCTAGAGCTCACAGGCTCCCAATGCTGACACCCCGCCCGGGGGTGTGTGTATGTGGGGTCTGGCCCTTACTTGTGCTTCACGGGAAGTGGGGTGCCAACCAGGGAGGCACGTGGGTCTGCAAGGACACTGAGACACACTCTGATCCTTGATGGCTGCCTGCATGTTGCACTGCTGCTGAAGGAGCCATGGGGAGTGTTCCCGCACCTTCCACAGCGGCTGGAGGGCAGGGTGTGCACAAGCCTGTGCCACAGAGGAGAGCCTGATTCGCAGGCGGGGAAGGTGCCCCCCACCCCGCCAGGCTCTGCTCTCTGACTCTCGAGGTGACCCTGCCCCCCCCCCCCGCCCTTATTGCATCTGGCTGGCCTCTTTCTTTTCCGGGACAGCTGGAAGTACCTCCTCTTGGTGTGTGGCAGGGTTAGGGAAAGGCCTACTGGCTCCCTGCTCTCCTGGCCACCTGGTGCCTTGATGCCAGCTTGCTTGGAGCCTCCGAGTGAGACTCGGCCCCATCTCTAGCACATAGGGTGTGCCTGCTGCAGGGTGGACACAGGTGCTTGGGCACCCTTAGACATGGGAGATGCCACAGCGACTCTACCAACCCTAGCCAGGCTTGTCCTTATCACAGGCCCATGACGTGTTATACCCATTATCCAGGTATGAAAAACAAGGCTCAGGGAAAGCCATATAACTGGCCATGGATGCTAACAATTACATAAATGAATGCGGACCACTTCCTGTGAGTCTTGGTACCACGTGAAGGTTCATTCTTTTGAGACAGGTCACATCTGAATTCAACTATTAAGCAATATTGTTTGTCAGTGCTCCGAACCAGAATATACAGGGCTTACGTTATGTCAAAGTCATGTGCAAGTGATTATGATTCCCATTTAATCAATTACGAACCTGGAACAGAGGGCTCAGGTAATTTGCCTGAAGTCACACAGCTACTAGAGGGAAAGCTGAGACTCAACCCAGAGAGGCTTTCCCTGGGGTCCAGTGCTTTGACCCCCAGTTCCTATTGCTCCTGAGATGGACACTGGTGTGCTGATACAGTCTGGGTAAACCCTAGGTTTGCCTTTGTCCATTCGGTGGCTACTGTGGCATCTCGATGTGCCTGAGCCTTTGTGTGGCTGGTGTTTGTTAGGTGCTCCCAGGGCCTGGCTTTGTTTCCCTGGTGTTTGTTAGGTGCTTCCAGGGCCTGGCTTTGTTTCCCTGGTGTTTGTTAGGCGCTCCCAGGGCCTGGCTTTGTGTGGCTGGTGTTTGTTAGGCGCTCCCAGGGCCTGGCTCTGCTGGCGCTCGCCTTAGAGCTCTGCCCTGGTGATGCATTTAGTCCTGCTGCACCCTGGCTTTATTGAATGACAGGATTACAAAACAAAAGGGGAAAGGAAGTGAACACGTACAGACTCTGTTTCTCAAAACCAGCATTGTGAACGTCACCTCCCTCATGTGTCACTGTCTCAGCAAGGGCATCTCCCTCTTCCTGCCAGGAGTTTGGGCCTGTCGGTGACGGAAGATGTCTCTCTCAGGAGCTCTAAGCAGGCCGGCTTCCTCAGCCAGCCTTGCTGCTGTATACGAGCCACAGTATTATTTGCTGTTCTACACGAGAGGCAGAAAGTCTCTTTTTAACGAGAGAAAGGAGCTACGTACAAGCCTTTCACCCCTGCATTAAATCTCCGAACCAGCCGCTGCCACTTTCCAAGTCTAGGGAGGCAGTGGAAGGGAAGGGGACTGAGCCATTGGTCACCTAATTTGTACAAAGAGCCAAACTGAAGTTAAGCACCGGCCCACAGCAATGACAACTAGTCCTTCCTCTCGAGAACCTGAGTCCCCTCAGGTGATCAACCTGCCAGCACCCTCAGCCACATGGCCTCTCAGGCTCTGTCTTCTAGAAACCCAGCGTCCACTTTGGTTACTTGAGCAGGAAGACAAAACAGCACCATTAAAAATTAATGCTAAATTAAAAATTGAAACGTTCCATTTCCCAGCAGTTAATTGTTCAGTTCCACTGACAATTCCAGCACGTTAGTGACCCTTGACCAGGAAGGCAGACAACAGCCTGGAAATTCAGGAGGTGGGAGGGAGCATGAGGGGGAGACCAGGAGCAACCGGCCTGAAGCAACTTAGTCATCAAACCCACAACACCATCCCCAAAGGAAGCCACCGTGATGCCGTCAGCTGCCTTAGCCAAGATCACCATGACAGAGTTCCAGAAGGAGGGAGGGGAGGTGCCAGCAAAGGGCCATTCAAACACCTTCCGTCTAAGGGGGGCACTTGGCACCGTGTGACATTGGGGCACTCGGCACCATGTGACCTCAGTGTGCCCAGATCCACCATACAGGGCAAAAGCTTCTGGGAAAACCACAGACCTCCTGGAATAAAGCATTGGGGTCTTTGGGTTACTAGGAGGAGTTGGTTTTCAATTCATTGTCTTTATGCAGAGGTACATTAATGGTATCCAAGGGTTACCTAGAGAAGTATTAAAATTCTGTGAATTAGGCCTTCAAGACGGCTCAGCAGGCAAAGGCTCTTGTGGGAAACCCGACAAGCAGAGTTTGATCTCCAGGACCCACACGCTGTCCTCTGCCGTCTCCATGAGTGCCTTGTCACAGGCACACAAGTCAGTCAATAGTTAAGATTCTTAAGGATCACGTAGTAGACTTAGGAAAAAATGTGGACCACACATCGCCCGCCACCTGAGGGCAGCATGAATGGGCAGTGGCTGCGGAGTGGATTGGAGGAAGGCTGTAGACTGGACTGAGAGCAAGAACTGATAAAGGATAAAGACTTGGTGGACAAGGGAACAATTCTCCCAGACTCAAGCCGAGCTATTTCCTGAGGTTGGAAGTGGGCGAGAACAGGGTGGGTGGAATTGAGGAATTGAGGAATCCACGTGGGCTGTATGGGGCAAGCAGAGATGGCTGGCGGGCTGGCGGGCAGGCGGCCACGCGGCCACAGGCCAGGGACGAGAAGCACGTGGGCTGAACACAGCAGAGCACAAAGAAGACGCAGTGTGGAAAAGCCCAGAAACTCCTGGCAGGAAGAGGAGATGCCCTTGCTGAGACAGTGCAAGGAGAATGGCCAGGAGGGGAGAAGACGGAAAGCAGGGACCACAGCATGGAAATGTGTGCGCACCACACCGTTCCGGCTCCATCTGGTCACTCGCTTACTCAAGAAACAGGTTCTGGTGCCTTGGGAAGGCTTCAATGTGATGGTGGTTCAAGCCAAAACTCTTTATTTGTGCATGCATGTGTGGTTGTATGTGTGTGTAAGTGTGTATGTGCATGTACATGTGTGTGTTTGTACATGTATGTGTGTATATATATGAGTGCGTATATGTATGTGTGTATATGTGTGTGTTTGTGTATGTATGTGTGTATGTATATATATGTGTGTATGTATTTGTGTATTTATGTGTGTATATATGTGTGTGTATGTGTGTATATGTATATATGTGTGTGCGTATATGTGTGTGTGTGTGTGTGTGTATGTGTGTGTGTGTGTGTAGACCAGAGTACAACCTTGGTGTTCTTCCTCTGGTGCCATTCAGATTTTTTTTTTGAGACACAATTTCTCACTGACCAGCAAGCCTTAGAGATCCCCTGCCCCACTGTCCCAGTGTAAAATTACAAGTGAACGTCACCACACCTGGTTTTGACTAGAAGTTTGGAAAATAACTAGCTAACATGCTAATTTCTGATAGAAATTTGTTGTTTGCTTGTGTAATGAGTGAAATCTCTTAGCTCAGGATTCCTACTTCAGGGATGAGGAGTTCGCTGAATGTAGAGAGGATTTTCCTGACCTACTACAGAGCCTGCAGATTTCCATAGATCCTATGTGGCCCACTCCAGAGCCTGCAGATTTCCATAGATCCTATGTGGCCCACTCCAGAGCCTGCAGATTTCCATAGATCCTATGTGGCCTGTGTTTTATGCTTTACCTACCACCGGCAACATTCCTTGTTGCAATTATCACAGTGCTCAGTCTGTTTGACTGAGCACCCAGACATCAGTTGCTTAGCCACTGATGAAGGTTTGCAGCCGCTAAGACACCCGCTTCCCGCCAGCTCCACACTCAGCGTGCCCCAGCCTGCCGGGCCCGCCCCAGCTCCAACCTCAGCACTGGCTCTCTCCTTACTTTGGGTTAAACCAGTCCCACAGCTGGAGCTCTTCAATGCGGTCCTCGTTTCTCCACTTTCCTTTCCCCCTTTCTGTATCCTCCTCTTGAGAACTGTGGGTCCTGTGTCCAAAGAGAAAGGAAGCTGGGTGAGGCCAGGGGCCGGGCAGCGGGGGACTCCTCTGACTTGTGTCTCAGGTGGAGAGAGGTATGTGTGTCACTTACAACACTAGGCATGGATTCTACAGAGTTCAGGCAAAGGGGCAGCAATTGTCTCTCCTGCCACCATGCAGGTCAGCAGTTAGGTTTCAATGACCCTGTAACCATTGGCTATCCCGGGAGTGGGACCCTTCAGAGGAATGTCCTACTGAGGAGTCTATTCTGAACTTTAAACTTTACCTTAACTGGAGAAAGGGCACAGGAAGGAGAGAGAGAGAGAAAGAGAGACTCTAGAATCCCACTTGTAAGTTAGATTCCTCTGAGCTGGTGAGAAGGCTCCTTCAGGAAAACTGCTTGTCACGAAAGCCTGAAAACCTGAGTTATCAGAAAGACAGTTGTCTTCTAACCTCATATGTGTGCTGTGGCATGCATGTATCTGCATTCACACACACATCACACACACACACACACACACACACACACACACACGCACACACACCACATACACATTCACAAACATATTGCTCATACTCACACCCATCACACAACCACATACACACAACACACTCATACATACATCACACACACTCACACACTCACACACACACACGCACGCACGCACGCGCACACACACACACACACGCATGCACCACACAATAGCACCAGAAATTAAAGACAACAACAACAAAGGGACTCCTTGAGAGATTTCAGTAAGCCAGAGTGAGTGAGGAGAACGCGGGGGGGGGGGACGAAGAGCCTACCCCATCCCTTACCCATTGTTAAACCAGCTCGGGGGCCACCAGCTCCTCTGCCCGCTGCTGTCACCAAACTCTGGAATTCTAGGAAATGGAAAGGCATATAAACACTTCTGGAAAACAAGCTAGTCCCCGCCTGGATGGAGGGGGTTCCAACGTTTTTCCTAAGTGCCAGATACGACTATTAAAACTGGTGGTACAGACCTTCATCCCAGCACTCAGGAGGCAGAAGCAGGCGGATCTCTGTGAGTTCAAGGCCAGCCTGGTCTACAGAGCAAGTTTCAGAATAGCTAGAGCTATTACATAGAGAGACTCTATCTCAAAAAACAAACAATCAAAAAGAGAATTTTAAGCTGCCAGTTCATATACTGGGGAGAAGCAAAAGCCTGAGCTAAAAAGGAGAGGGCAGACCCGAGAGGCCTCAGCTGCCTCTTCCGAGAAGCCCCCAGCACTCTGCCCCTGAAGGATGAGGGGCAGGAAAAACAATGATGGGGGCCCCTGGAACAAATAAGCCTGTGGTCCAGAGCTCTGCTTGCTGAGGGAGTGGCTGTGGTAATGACCAATGAGACAGCAGAGCGTGGTGACAGAACATGACTACAGTGAGGGGTTATCTTTTGTTTTTAATTATTTATTTTAATCTCATATGCATTAGTGTTTTTTTTTGCCTTCATGTATGTCCGTACGAGGGTGTTAGACACCCTGGAATTGGAGTTACAGACTGTTGTCAGCTGCCATGTGGGTGCTGGGAATTGAACTCAGGACCTCTGGAAGAGCAGCCAGTGCTCTTAACCATTGAACCCCTTCCCTAGCCCCATGGGGTAATCTTAACTAAAACAAAAAACAAACCATGCATCTTCTCGAGAATGATAGCGCAAGTGTGTAAGTGTGTGTGTGTGTGTGTGTGTGTGTGTGTGTTACAAAGGCCAGTCAGAAAAAGCCCAGTTGCCCAACCTGTTTCGTGAAGTCTGAGGACTGCCAAACAGAAGTTAGAAAACTAGTTAGAAGCCATCTTAGCCAACTTGAGAAAGTTTGCATATTCTCTCATTGTGCAAGTCTGTAATTTCTATCTCTAGGATGAGAAAAGAAAGGGGGAAGTTGGATAAAGGCAGCAAGATTACCCCGAACAGAGACACAGTATTAGGGGAGAGGGTCCTGTTGTGTATTCAGGCTAATCCTCTCACTTGGCCTTTGGCTGAGATGACAGGCAAGCTTCCCCAATCCTAGCTAAGAAAACCATTAGAGAGTTCATCTGGAAGTGTCTGAGATGGTTAATGCACCAAAGGTGTGGTTATGTAAGTGGGAAACACCATAAGAATAAAAATCACAGGAAATAGAAAAAAAGGCCAACAAGATGTCTCAGTGGGTAAAGAGGTACTTGCTACCAAGTCTGACGACCTGAGTTCAATTCCTGGAACCCATATGGTAGAGGAAAGACCCAAGTTACCCTCCAATCACCACGTGTACACGTGCAGGCACACAAGCACATGTGCATACACACAGAGACAGACACACACACACACATAGACACATAGGCACACACCCACATAGACACAGATAAACACAGACACACAAAAACACACAGAGATAGACACACACACACACAGAGACATACACACAGACCCAGACACACAGGCACAGACACACAGGCACAGATAAACAGACACACAAAAACACACAGAGATAGACACACACGGACAGACACACACACACACACAGACACATAGACACACACACAGAGACACACACACAGACCAAGACACACACTCACAGACGCACAGGCACACACACAGACACACACAGAGACACACACAGATCAAGACACACACTCACAGACGCACAGGCACACACATAGGTGATTTTTTAACAGGGAAATATTGGTGGTCAGGAACACATAGGTAAAGTGCTCGTCTCAGACACACGAGGACCTGGGTTCAGATTCCCAGCACCCACACTGAAGTCAGGGAGAGCACGTGGTGGGGGAGGGGGAGAGAAAGGGATCCCGGGGCTGGCTGGCCATTCAGTGTAGCCAAAAATGATGATCTCTGGGTTCAGTGAGAGACTTCGTCTCCAAAACTATGGTAGAGAATAATAGAGGAAGATAATCCAAGTTGCCTCCTGGCCCACACTGGTACACACGTAGACAGACGCACCTACAGACACATGCACACACCCCAGCCCCTCCCCACAATGATTTGGTAACCCCAGGATGCATTTTCACATGACCTTGGCCATCCCAAATGAAATTTTCACATTTATTCTCATTTTTAAGCTGAGGTGTGGGCTTTGTGGGTTTGGGCATGTGGCCAAGGTCCCTCAGCAGTAAGGATAAATTCAGCTGTAATGCCTGGAAATGGATCACACTCAAAGAAGGATAAGGCGTGGGACAAGCAGTTAAGGAGAATCGTTTATTCCGAGCTTCCTGGCCACCACACCGAAGACGGGAAAATAGAGCTTAACATAGCTCTTCCCTCAATCAGATAGATGCCACCGTCTGAAGAGTCCCCTGAGCAGCACTGAGGGCAAAACACGTCGCTGTTCTATAAACCCCAGTCTGGGGACTGGCAGGGTACAGTTCTGACCCCAGGACCCTAGGCACCCCTCCTTCTCCTTGCCCCCCCACACTCCCACTGTGGCCTGAACACCCCTAGTGGCTGAGAATCAACTGCGGGGGTTAAAGACCAGGCGAGGAGACATCCAGCAGGTGTGCAGGGTTCGGAGCACTTACTTCATGTGATATATCCACAAGAAGGAGCCTTCTGGGCTAAGGGCAAACGAGAAAGAAAAAGATGTCACTTTACCTTTAGTTCTCTGAGACGTTTCACCGCCGTGGTTCTAACCCCTCCCAGGCTCAGTCTTCCCTTGAGACCAGTGACAAAGGCCCTGGGGATTCCCACAAGCAACGCCAGGGAAGGGAAGGGGCATTTGATGGTTTCAATTCCTGTTTGTTTTGGGGATCCCCCTTCTGGTTAGCTGTTCCTCACAGGAAGGTCCCCCTCCACCACATTCTCGGATGCTGGGCAGTGAGGAAGCCCAGGGCGGGGAGGAGGAAGGATCATGGCCAGCCATCCCCCACGGAGGATTTCTCTCCCCCAGGAAACAGAGCCTGGCTCACTCAGCTCGGACCCCTTAAACAGAGCAGATCCCAAGGGCATCACTTTAATAAACCAAGACAGTGAGGCTAACTTGATCCCTAGAAGACTAGGCCAGTGACCTTAGGACATCACCTGTACTCATTCTCTAAGTGCCTGCTGGGCTTGTCCTCCACACCAGGTAAAGGGGCTCACTGCACGCCAGGGCAGGCGCCGCATTACCCAGGAGCACGAAACAGAGAAGTCAGGCCACCAAGGGCGCAAGAGACGGGATAAGCGAGCATGGGGCCCTTCCAAGGAGGGCCTGGCAAGACTCCTGGAGAAGGCACTGTATTCTGAAGCATGGAGAGAAGTCCGCCGAGGTGAAAAGACACAGAAGTGTTCCCAGCAGAGTAAACGACATGCAAAGGCCCTAAGGCAGGAGAGAGATTGAGCCGGAGGTCAGACCCACTGGCCATCGCCTGTGAAGAGCTGTTGGAGAGCAAATGTGAGAAGCCTTGCTGGAGAGCAGCAGCGTGGAAGAGACCGCGTGGAGGGCAGTTGGGTGTGGCAGCGATCAAGGCAGCCGCGGCTCAAGACAGTGCTGACCAGACAGAGACTTCTGGGGAATATAAACAACACGACTTCTAGAAGGGCGTGGCCGGTTTGGTGCCTGCAATCCCAGCCTTGGGCAGCAGAGGCCACAACTTTGAGGCCTCCCTGATCTGCATAGCAACGACCAGTCGGGACTACATACTGAGAACCTGTCCCCAAAACAAAACCAGTGGCAGGACCTAGTGCCATACTGAGCTATTCGGTTCTGTGCAGAGACCCTGTGCCTACGTCCTATGCCTGAATTCGTTCATTCCGTAGACTCTATCACTGTCTCTTTAGCCCTTAACTCCTCCCCCTGTGCTGGAACTCAAGCCTCCTCCTAGGGATCAAGCTCCTGCCTTCCTGCCCTCTGACCCCCTCCAGCTGCCTTCCTGCCCTCTGACCCCCTCCAGCTGCCTTCCTGCCCTCTGACCCCCTCCAGCTGCCTTCCTGCCCTCTGACCCCCTCCACCTGCCTTTCTGCCCTCTGACCCCCTCCAGCTTCTCCCTAAAAGTTCCTGGTTCCTAAATCAGCGAACTGATGCTGTGCCTTGGTGAACCTAGCCAGGCACTGCTCCAGGCAATTTACATCCAGCTGCCTAGGGAATCCTCACACCACTGCAGACACTCTGTCCCCACCCTCACCCTGAAGAGCAGGCGTGTCCCGAGAGCCTTCTCATGGAACTTGTGCTAATCAAGTGCAGACCCCCCACGTCTGAGCCTGGGGAGGGGAAAGAGACAATGAGTAGGGAAAGGAGACAGTGAGCAGGGGGAGACACTGAGGAGCAGGGGGAGACACTGAGGAGCAGGGGGAGACACTGAGGAGCAGGGGGAGACAACCCAACATTCAGAACCCTGCCTGGCATTCAGGGAACTGTTTTGTAGCTATAGTTAACACACTTGTCGCCACACCTCTTTAACAGCATCTTTTTTAAAACTCTTCCCATCATCTCCCAGACTCCTTCAAATGTAGCCATGCTAAACTGACACTTCAACATGCACTCGTCTGTCCACCAGGCACATCCCAAAAACCACCTCTCCCTAGCCCCCAACCCTCCCACCCAGGGCGGTGCCTGGCCGCAGGACTTGCTTCCTAAGCATCTGTAAACTGAACCTCCTTGCAGGCCAGGCAGTCTCTGCCTTCTGGATCTCATGGTCTCCTCTCTCCCTCCAGGTCCGTCATCCACTTTGAATCACTGGTCATCCATCCACAGGTCTCACCTGTTCAGACCCTAACACCCTAGGGGGAGGAGCTCTATTTGGCCTCCATGTCTTTGTGCACCGGGCAGACAGGAGCTCTAGATGGAGTCTAGGACATTGGATCACTAGATCCAATTCTACTTACAATAAATACGCAGACCACTGCTGAGCCAGCCCCCAAGGCTGGTCTCCATTTGGTCACCTGAATGTGAGGGCTTGGCTAAAGGAAGGATTGTGCACTAACTGAGTGACTGACTCACAGGCAGGTCACAGGGGACTCAAGTCTTCCCAAGATGTGATCATGAAATAAATATTCTTGAGACTTGGTGCCCTCATCACCCAAAGTTACTCCCACTTTGCAGAGCTATCCTAAGACAGGTGTTGCACACAGCCTGGGGCTTGGCGTGTGCTCAGAACCTTCCAGCCAGCTTCATCATCTTCTTTGTTGTTGTTTTATTAACTTTTGAGGTTTCTTCCAGCTCAAAAATACAGTACTGCGTTTTCAAACAGCTTCAAATCAAATGCTTTCCTAGGTGATGTTCTTTTCACTTATTGACTGATTGACTGATATTAAAAATGTTTTCTGTGTGTAGGCATTTTGGCTGCATGCACATCTGTGCATCACTTCTGGGCCTGGTGCCCATGGGGGCCAGAAGAGGGCGCCAGATCCCTGACACTAGAGTAACAGATGGTTGTGAGCCACCGTGTGCTGCCCAATGCGGATGCTGAGAACTGAACTCTGGAAGAGCACCAACAGCCTTAAACCGTGAGCCATCTCTCCCGTCATTGTGTCTTCATTTTGTGCACCACTCGTGACACAGAGGCACAATTCTAATCAGACAACGTCAGGGTTACCTAATCAGACTTAGTTTCAGAGCTTGACATTTATCCAAACAAGTATTCCAGCCCCAGAGGGCGCTTGTTCTCTTGGACAATTCTAGCGGTTGGAGTGAGTTTCTACCTGCTGCAATCCTGATGCCGTATCTGCCCATCAGTGCAAACACTGCTGTTGTGCAGTGAGTGTCTGTGGACACCCTAACTGCAACTGTTGAAGCCCTGTCCCCGGTATGACATCGGCACTTGGAAATGGGCCTCTGAGAAACAGCTAGGTTTAGAGAGGCATATAAAGGTGGCACCTCATGATGGGCCCGGTGTTTCTGTAAGAAAAGGAAACAACTGCAAATTGCTTGCTCTCCATCACGTACAGGGTCAGGGAGAAGGTAGATGTCTGCAAGCCAAGGCGAAAGCTTCCCCTGGGAACTGAGAAATAAGTTCCTGTGGTTGAAGCCACCCAAGTTGTGGTACCTGGCTATGGTGACAGAGAATGGGTGATATAGATGATGGGAATGTTTCCTGTTTGCTCATCTGTGGCTTTGGTATTGAACCACGCCATTGCGCGTGCTAGGCAAGCGCTCTTCCACTGAGCTGTGTTCTTTGTTGTTTTGTTTTGTTTTCAGGTGGGCCTCACCTTACTGTAACCCAGGTTGGCTTCAGCTCATAGAGATCCCCCTGCCTTGGCCAGTCAAGTGTGGGGATTGCAGGTATGATCAACCGCACTGGGATATTATCCCCATTTTGAAAGGCAGGGCACCGAAGAGTAGAGTAACTGTGTAGCTCGCCCAAGGTCACACAGTCAGTGAACAGAAGCCTATGACACACCAGGCAGTCTGGCTTTATGGTCTAGCCAGGATGCTCTTCAGCACCAATAGCCTAAGGGTCACCATACCCAACTGGGGAATCATCTCTTACTTGAACTAGCTTCCTCAATTCAAATGACACACTCTCCAGACTTTCTAAGTCACACTCTAGCTTGTCACACCTTTTCTCAAACTTAGCTTTTCAGAATGAAACAGCAGAACATTCTAGAAGTGGTTACATGTCTGTCACACCTTGAAACTCATATCTTTTGCATTCTGACTGGAGGCTGCCCCTCCTAGAGGTTTGCTGGCTCATCCAACTTTAAAATTCAATATTCTGAAAGAGATAAATGAGAAGATGTTAACCCAGACTGCTAGAACTCTTGGGCCACTAAAACATTCCACTGTGAAAACAGTCATCTTTGAGACAGCTCCTACAGTTAGCTATACAAGGAATGCACTCGTTGGAGGTGAGTGGAGCTCAGCCAGTGTCCCTTCTTAGGGACCTGCTGGGGCTTTGCCGTGGAGTTCTATCTCCTCCCTGAGACCACCAGCACTGGAGCTTCCAGAAGCAGAAGCAGACAATAGATCTTAATTCACAGTTGAGTTCGATGGCTGAGAAACATTTAATTCATCTTGCTCTCCAAAGCCAGGAGGGGAAGAAGAGAGGGACAGAGTTTCATCCAGCACAAATGAATCACCAGTAAAACTTAGTATGTGTTTTTGCACCAAATCCAACCACTGGGACAGCTCCTTTAAACCTTACAAATATTTTAGGATTGCAGGGACTTAGGGCTGGTTTCTTGTGGAATTCCTATCTGAATTTTATTTCCCGCTTTCCCTTTATTTTTATTATCTTAAATGTTATGTGTGTGAGCACTTTGCCTGATGAGTGTGAGCATTGTGCCTGATGTATGGGTGTGCCCCATTTGTGTGTGGTGCCCATGCAGCGTAGAAAACGAAGTAGGATCCTCTGGGACTAGATTACAGGTGACTGTGAGCCACCTTGTGGGTGCTGGGAACGTAACCCAGGTCCTCTGAAAGAATAGCCAGAGCTCTTAACTGCGGAGTTACCTCTCCTATCCCTTTATTTTACTTGACTTGATTTTTGAGTCAGGGTCTCCCTGTAAAGTGATGGCTGGCCCTGCGGTCACTATGCAGACAATCTTGGCTTCAAACATACGATTCTCACGCACACACCAGCCTGCCCGGCTTGAAATTTCTTGTGTCTACTTATGCAAATTACTTGAGACTGTGTTTTTTTTGCTTAATGTGCCTTTTCTCTGGGTTTAGCCTACAGAAATGTAAGATACTAGGAGCGTGGCAAGGAGGAAGATAATTACTTAGGCAGAAGTTACCTGGATGGTCTGTGGTTTTAGCAACCATCCAGGGCTGGAGAATACAGGAAGGGTGGAATCCTGTTTATGGCTCAATTCCTCATGATCACTCTGCTTGGTCACTCAGCTGGCACCAGTCACACAGAATGAAAACAGCCTTCCCATCTCCACAATTCTAGCTGGTTTCATAATTACCTGTTGACATATTCCCAAAACACGACAACCACAGTTGAGACAACCAGCATCGACAGGACTACTTTTCCCTTGACATTCATTATTTTCTCCTGTGGGGAGGGGGAGAGGGAAAATAGATTAAATAAATTAAATCTGGAGTGAGGGATGGCTTCTGGGGAGGGAGAAACAGCTCAATGGTTAAGAACACTTGCTGGCTTCAGTTCCCAGCATCCAAATGTCACTCACAAAGTCGGTAACTCCAGTTTCAGAGGATCTGATGCCCTCCCTCTTTTGGCCGCCACGGGTACCAGACATACTGGGTCTCGGATAGACACAGGCAAAACACTCGCACGCATAGAATAGTCTACAAAAGGCCTCTGCCCACATCGTCTCTAACAGGATACATCTGTGTATGATTCACTTAGGCTGAGACGTGTGTCCCTGCACAAGCGCACAGGCTGGTGATGGCAAATTAGGCCAGTGTGGTTAATGACACTGCATGCTCCAGGAAGGATGCTGGAGCCGCAGCCCCGGCCCCGGCCATGCGGGCATGGGCAGGTGAGGAGGTAGGCGTTAGAACTGTTGACTCCGGGGCAGCCCTGCCCACTCCCCAACTCTGTTGTCCCTGGAGTGCTGACGACACATTTCAATGCCTCTTTATAGGCGAGGCCTTGCCCACTTCCCAGCCACACCCAATTCGCTCACACACACCCACAGGCAAGCAAAAACAACTGGAATGGCAGGAGAACTGGGAGAGGAAGGGGGGGGGTGACAGGCGGAAAACAAGAGCCTGGGAAGTGCTCCAGTGCGGTGATCAGGGAAGGCAAGATGTGGAAGGGACAGAAAAGGTGACTTGGAGATGAAGACAGGACATAAGGAGGTGAGGGAGGGCCTCTGTGGAGTGTCATCCACGACGGGCTAGCTGGACAGGACGCTTTAGAACATACAGCAAAACTGCACCTCCAAATCGCTGCACGAGAAGAGGTGTGGTGGGCAGGGAGGACAGAGCTCTCAGAGGTCCACGGGGAGTTCGGGAGGCACCAGAGCCTTTGGGGTGGCGAAGGACCGGATCTGTGTTCACCTGCTGAGGGGTGGGGGGAGGTACCAAACCCCAGAATTCGTGGGGAAAGTCACAGGCTGTTCTAATGGCCGAAGAGAGGGAGCAATTGTATTGGACATCTGCATGTTGCTATCCCCGTATCATGAGGTTTGATGTAGCACTCTGATACCTTACAGCCCTCCTTGGGTGGGGAGAAATCGTTCCTGGAGACGTGCCAGCTCTCTGAGATTCCAGGAGCTCAGACAGGACATGCCTTTGACCCACAAATGAGCCAGCCACTCGGTGCCAGGCCTCCTCTTTCTGGCCATGCACCTCACAAGGCAACAGGACCTGGCCTTGTTGCACAGAGCATCGGACACCTGGAGACCAGGCCTGCCGAAAAGAACCCTGAGTAGACGGATCTTACCTGCTCCCTCTGCCCTCCTGGCCACTCCCATGGATCCCAACTTCCAGCCCTCGGTACCACAGTGGTGGGTGGGGCTCCGGAGACCCCAAGAAGAAAGGCTAGCTAGGGAACCGTAAGAAGGCAGACTGACAGAGCCTGAGCAGCTCCCTTCATGGTCTCTGCACCAGGTCCTGCCTCCAGGTTCCTGCCCCGACTTCCTTCAGTGAGGGAGTGTGACCTCAGTGACGGAGTGTAACCTCAGAACCGTGAGCTGAAATAAACCCTCGCCTCCCAAGTTGCTTTTGGCCATGTGTTTATCACAGCAATAGGAACCCTAACTAAGACAGAGTCCCAGGAATTGAACCCAGGTCCTCAGGCTTGGCAGCAAACTTCTTTGCCCGCGGAGCCATCTCCTTTTCCTTTTCTTTTTTGGTGTGTGGCTGGGAATAAGAGGCCTTTCGAAGAGCTGGTTTCTTAACGAGCTCAATACAGATGTAAGCTGTGAGCTTATCTCAGAAGAAACATCCAAAAGCCAGCAGAAGGCTTCCAGATTAATTCTGGAAGTGATCACAGAGACTAGCTCCAAATGCTGAAAAAAAGCTGAGTTTAGCTCAGAGCCTTCCTCCCGCACGTGAGCACATTGGGCAGGCGGCCTTGAGAGCACAGCTTCAGTGTGACACAGCTCATTCACCCAGAGGCTGTGGATTTTAAAAGGCCAAGTGACCAGGACAACAGCTAGTCCCCAGCCCTCACCCTCACTTCCTAAGCCTATTTCCCCTACCTTATCTCCCACCCAACCAGAGACACCCCCCACCCACTCAACTGAACCAGTCAGAAGCCCGTCCATGGTGGACTACCTAGTTTACTACAGGCTGAGCCTAGCAGGCTCGAATGCTGGGCATAAAAAGCCCCAGTCAAGACCACTCATCTTCCCGTCCCCTCCCTGACTTTTCAGGAAGCTGCTTTTCTACTTCCGGGGAGCTTTGGTTATTCTTGCGCTATCTCCCCAGTCTGTGTGGGAGGTAATGACTTGGGTGAGCCCTAGCTCTCTGAGCCAAGCCCGCCTAGAAACAGACGTCATCACACTCAAGGACGCCCCACACAGACCGAGAGCCGGAGAAGATCTGTCTGAGCTGTGGCAGTGGATCAGGATTTGAGCCCTCATTTCTTTTTCTTTTTAAAATTTTACCTACATATTTATTTCACGTGCATTGGAACCTAGCCACAGACAGTTGTGAGGTGCTAGGTGGTACCTCATGTGGCATGTGAACCCGGATCTTCTGGAAGAGCAGCCAGTGCTCTTTACCTCTGAGCATCTCTGCAGCCCCTTGAGTCCTGACTTTACACAAGAAACTACAGTTCCTCAGCCCTCATCCCCACCTCTATAAAAATTTTGGAAAACTAAACATCCTTTTGTAATTCAAGGTGCACACACACACATGTGCGAACACACACACACACATGTGCACACACTCATATGCGCACACACATGCACATGTACACATGCACACACACACACACATGCACACCCATGCACACACTGGCACATGCCTGCCTTTAATCCCAGAACTCAGGAGGCAGAAACAGGCAGATCATCATGAGTTCCAGGGCTACATTATGAGACCCTGCCTCAGGAGAGAGAGAGAGAGAGAGAGAGAGAGAGAGAGAGAGAGAGAGAGAGAGAGAGAGAGAGAGAGAGAGAGAGAGAGAGAGAGAGAGAGAGAGAGAGAGAGGTAGTAATGATCTCAGAACCACGCCATAACATAGGATACATGTTTTTTCAAGATGTTAGTCTTCATTACTGATGTTCGTAAGAGAGAGGCTGCTGGGAGGTTCGCTGAACACGAGGGCTGACACTTCAGACATGCTCAAGACATTTGCAGGGAGGAGAGCCCTGGACTGAGAACAGTTTATACAAATGGATGCAAATTAAGGTTTCACCATCTGTTCCAGCTCAGCCTGAGTAAGCTGGTCCAAAGGGAGACTAACTTCAGACTCTAGGGCAGCCTGTGCCTGCTGAGAGGCAAGGGTGAGCCTGGCTCAGCTGCACCAACCCCGCTGACCAGGGATCAAAAGCAAAGCCTCTCCCAACTGGAAAGGGCATGATACAGAGCAGCACTGCCTGTGCCACCAGAGCGTCCAGACCGGCACCTGGATCCCCACCATCAACATCCTGGTGGGTGGGGGTGACGTTTTTAGATTTCAGGAATTCACATCAGAAGCACATTCTGGGCTTCACTGATATCTTGAAAGCATCTGCCTGCTGGCCACGGCTTATCACCCCG